ATGAAGATGACTCAAGTGATAACTCTTTGAAAGACGAAGATATGTGAGTATTTGTAAGGTGCTACAATAAGTATATGAGGATGAATGGTCTTAAACACTACGCCACAAACTTGATGAAATTCACAAAATTTTATCTTCCAAAGTAGTGGGATGACAAAAATAAAGAAGAAAAGCATGTGACATGCTTTGAGTGTGGACAAACCAGTCATTACAAAAACGATTAATCAAACTTGACGAATCACAAAGAAAAGTAACTATTCCACAATCCAAAAGGCAAGGCAAAAATACATAGGGCATATATTGATTGGGAAGAAGATGAAGATTCATTATGATCTAATTTAAGTTCAAACGAAGAAGTAGATAATATTTGTTTGATGGTGCGGCATAATAAAGAAGACTCAAAATAAAGTGACTACACTCTTTACCTTCTTATAATGAATTGTCAGAGGCCTTTCATAAAATGCATGCTGACACATTAAAAGCTTTTAAGAAAATCTCCTATCAAAATAAAAACATTTTTAAACATGAGGTAGAAGTCTCAAAAATTAAAGATGCTCTTGAGTCCTTAAAAGAGGATTGTGCATCTCTAGTTAATGACCAATTGTGCATCCTCTGACTCTGGATGAAAATTTAAAATTATATGATTGCATTAAGTTATCTAATTTAAGAAACTGAAATAGAAAGTTTAAAGGGACGAATAACATAACTATCTAAAACACGTATTGTCATCTCTATTAGTTCAAGTAATGATGAACAAGGTTTTGAAAAATGAAATAAGAAATATGCTTATTTTACTATAAAAATTAGAAAAAATATTTCTCCTAGAATTGCGTGCCATTATTATGGTGAAAAGGACACATTAAGCCTTAATTTCACATTCTAAATGTAAAAGTTCCAAATGATCTCCTGGCATAAAAACCTGAGAGTCCTAACACTAACCCCGAGGATCCAACACTTGTTGGGAACCTAAATTTCCTTTTTGATTTTTTTGTTGTAATTTCTTACAACTTAAAATAGGATATGGTTCTGAGATAGTGGTAGTTTAAGGTATATGACATAATATGTGTTGTTTTAATTGACTTCCTCAAGAAAGAGTGCGGTTTCATCACATATGAAACAACAACAAAGGTAGAATATTAGGAGAAGGTGTTGCTGGTAATCCCTCCATAATCATCATAAATGGTGTTCCGTTTATGAAAGCCTTAAACATAATCTCCTTAGCATTAGTCAATAGTGTGATAAGTGCTATTCTATAACATTTGACACTCTAAATTGCATTATTGAACATAAAAATGACAAGGATATGATGTTTAATGGTTCTATAATTGATAACATTTATATGCTAAATATATATGATGTATCAAATATTGGTACTAAATATTTAGTCACTGAGAGAGAATTCCTAGTTGTGGAATAGAGGCTCAGGCCATGTGTATTTTGACTTGATAAATAAAATATCATCCAAAAACTTAGTAATTGGTTTAGCTTAAATAAAATTTTCTAAAGAAAAGTTATGTGATACATGCCAAATGGAAGGTCAAACAAGACTGTCTTTTAAACCGAAAAATTGTGTTACGACTTCAAAATATATTTAGCTTATTCATTTAGATCTCTTTTGTCATTCAAGGATTGGGAGTTTAGGAGAAAATTACTATGGTTTTATGATCATACATAATTTTAATAGATTCACTTGGACTCTATTTTTATGTCAAAAGGAAGAAACTTTTAAGGTTTTTGTGAAATTTTCTAAGCTTGTCCAAAAACTTAATAAGTGATCATGGTGGTGAAAATAACCACCTTAAGAAGGGATCATGGTCGAGTCAAATCAAATATTTTCACACTGGCTAAAAGTCTCACATCCACTTGCTGCACCAAAGAATGAAACAACACAAGATACTGAGATGAAGAAAACAAACAAGGTTGATGACAAATCTAACATGAGGTATTCTACCTAACTTAGGAGGTGAGACTTATAGCTAATGATGTTAAACAAGTACTAGATGTTTTAGCTACGGTGCTGACACATTTGAGTATCATAACTGCTTTGTATACCAAACATGGTGTTGTTGCTCAATAAACTGATAGTAAGGTAAACCAAAAAGACTAATGAACAAAGCATACTTATTAGCCAGGATTTCAACAAAGGTCAAATCTGACTAAGAGGTACAAGCGTGAACATAAGCGACAAGGAAAATGTCAAAAAGGAGAAGAGGGTCAAGTCGACAGAAACATGGTGGCAACAAGAAGACGTTGTTCTCAATAGGAAATTATGAAGAGACAGACGCGAGAAAGAAGGCCCTTTATTGGGTTTTTGAAACAGGAGAACGCGTGAGAGACAAATGGAAGAATTATTAGACAAATGGCGCTCAAAGAAGATGAACCCGCCAAAAGAGAAGTTACCTTTTATGTATTATAAATAAGACATTGGAAATAGTTTAGGGGGGATTTAAACTTACTTTCATCTTAGATGAACACTCAGAGTACCTGAGTGAAGAGTGAAATGAGTCAAGCAAGAGCAATGTATGTTTGAATCACCAGGTTTTCATTTATATCAAGCAAATTTACTTTAAACTTTACTTAAGTTTTCGTAGATCTATTTTCATTTGTTAACTTTCAAATATGTTTAATTTTATCTATCATTTTACAAAAATAAGTAGATTTCACACCGTGTCGAAGTCATTTGCACTCGAGTCACTCCTTACTTTTTTTCATCTCAAAACACATAAAAGTTGAAGCATTGTCCTGAGATTCCCTAGTCGATCTCGCAAAGAAACCTTTATTTTTATTATTTTAGTTTTTTCAAGGAACTTAAAGAATAATAGCAAATATCGAGGAAGCAACACATTTTTAGCAAACTGAATAAACTTGTTATATTAATAACTTTGGAAGGGATTACAACTTTTCGTACAAGTTTCAAAAATCCTCAATACAAGAGAAATAAAGATAGAAAAAAGTCTAAGAAGCTGAGTATGAAGAAGATCCCTCCACACGCTGACGCTCCCCTTTGAGTCTTGTAATCTGAGCCTTCAACTGCTCGTTCTCTTCTGCATACTTATCGGTAACTTCCTTCCATCCACTAGGAGTGGGAGATAAGTTCTCAACGGGACCTGGCTGAACGCTTGAGGAAAATAAATCCTCTTTCTTATCCATCATTTCTACATTATGTCTCTCAAGAATCTCAATCAAATCATCATTCTCCTTCAATTCCGTGGAGTAGGACATCTCCAAAGTCTGGTACTTGTTCTTCCATGCTTCCTTCTCTAGCTGCATCCTAACCAAGGAAAGCTAAAGTTCTTCCAAATCATCTAAGAGAGGAGGAGTAGTCATCATAAACATGTCAGCTAAAGGTTCTTCATGAGAAAAAGGCATCTTCAATTACCCCTGCTTGTACCCAACGAAGATGAGGCTCTAAGGAAACAACTCCTCTTGGTCCTAAATCCTTTCTACCCTTCTTATGAATATGGAACAAAGATTTTTCAATATATTCCTTAGCTTCTTTGTGAACTTTTCCTTCTTAAAGAAAGAAACCACTCAGATGAATGTTACTTGGCTTGTCTCTCATCGGATATCCAAGCTGGCGGCGTGCAAGAATATGATTGAAGTTAATTCCTCCCTTTGGAAGAGGCACATTGAGAAAAACACCATAAATATCAATTATCTTCACATCATAATAAGCTTGATGATACAAATCAATGCTGGAATGAGTGAGAGCCATAATCTTCGATGCCCACTATGGTTCCTTTTTGATATCCCAAAAACTAGCAGATCGAGACATGTGAGAAATAAACCACTGGTATAACAATGGTGTGTAACATATGATCATCCCTCCTTGATAGAAATTCTAAAGATAGATGGAATGATAAGTATCTCCTAACAGTGTAGGGACTGGATTCCTAATCAGAAAGATCCTAATGACATTAACGTCCACAAACTTTTCGACGTTAGGAAACAAGAAAAACCCATAGGCAAGCAAAGCAAAGATAGCCTCAAAAGCAATTGTACTCTTCATCTTGGTAAAGTAACGAGCTTTATCCAATAGAAACTGAGTAGGTAGACCTCTGATTCCTCCTTTGGTAGTCATGTTATCCTCTATCTCACACTTCCTCAAATGAGTAACTGCTGCAATCTCATGAGACTTAGGCTCTCCTTCTAAGCCGGTGAAAGGAACACGATCAATAATAGGCAGACCAAGTAAATAAGAATATTATTCCAATGTAGGCATCAACTGATAATTAGGAAAAGTAAAACACTGGTATAATGGATCATAGAATTGAACCAACATAGTAAGAATACCCTCCTTCATC